ACCGTCGATCGACTTTGCTCAGGTCAAAAAGTCTCTTAATGAAATCCTCCAGGCCTTCGTCGTATCCCATTTTGACAAACATCAAGTCCGTACCTGCCAAATACTTGCACGGTGAGCACGATGCAACAGACCAGAACGAGGGTAAGCAAGCACACCCTAACGAGTACACACTAACTCACCCATCTCTTCATTTTTCTTCGCGACTTCCATTCCAACAGTGCAGCCTGTCGTTATCAGCTTACGACATCGCCCAAGTTCAGCCAGACTGTCGGTGATTGCATTGGGATGTATATCTAAATGGCCCTTCTCATTATCATACATGCGACGCATGGTAAATGTGCAGTCACACAGTCCAGCTGTGGGAAGGGACCAGCAAGAAACTTCGACGGAGATCCCCAGATCTTCGCTCTGGACTTTCGTGACGAGGGTCCTTCCCATTGAGCGAGAACAACCGCACGTACTCACCAAGTTCTACGAAGACATGATGGAACATCTCAATAACCGCGTCGAAATGGGAATCAGTAATGTTCATGTGGTAGTGCACTGGCTGGACATTCTCTTCATCGTAGCTGCGGACAAGAAAGTTAAGCGAAAATGAATTGTAACAATCCAGGAAGGTCTGTGTGTTTCACAGCATCCACAGTATCCAAGCTTCAAGTGAGCTAAATCTCCGACTGCGATCCCAAAATTATGGGGCCGCAATGTGATCATCGCATCGAGGGTAGTCATTCACATAATCACCGCATCAAGCTATCGAGTGGGAGATAGGTCACAACACGGCTCAGCCGAGAATTCAACGAGCTCGTGATGCCTCCACCTCCGACCGCATCTAATCCGATATATAAACACCTCTTACGTTTTCGGTCCACCAAATAGACCCGTGACGAAGCTGCACATCTTCGCTTTGATCGAGTCCATCTTTTTTTGATTCTTCTCAAAGTGGGCTCGTGTGCGAGGGTCTCTGATCGCCCTCTCGTAGACCTGTCAGGGCGTCTCGAATGATCTCGCATGCCAGAAACTGTGACATGGCTCACGGCTATGGGAATGAAGAGGCCGAAACACAGTGCTAAACATTGTATCGAATTCAATTCGGTTGCACGAAGAACTGATATCTTTTGACAACAGGAACTTTGAATTTCAAGTGGAGATTTCTTTATTTCTTTGGGATGCTGAGTATGCTGGAGCTTCATAATGTGAACGAAATAACGGAGCCTTCGTCACGCGCACTCTTTCAAGCGAGTTCACTGCTCGACTGTACCCTCATCGACCAGCTTCGGCTTCACGCGAGCAAGGCATGCACGACAGGCTTACCAGCTCTATCGCTGTCTCCAGGTTCAGGTCGCCTCCGATCCTCTCAAACCTATAAAATAAGGTACTGATTGCATCGCCCAACGAACGCTGCAGGTCAGGACAGGCACGATAAGCAATGCCTCTCTCGTGCTCCACTTCGAGTCGCAACCGTTCACAGCACACCTACAGCGACTGCTTGGGATCATCCACCTTCTCCTTCCCGTGGAGGCCTCCCCCACCATCAGCGTCACCAGTCTGCTTCGTCTTAGCGGCGACTTCTTCGATCTGAACTTATTGTTGATGTCCCCACTATGAAACTCAGTTGATCATACCAGGTTTCTGAATTTCTTTATATTGTTCTTGGCTTTCACCATTTCCTGCACGAGCAGCTCCCTCGGCACATCTGTTGTGCCTGAAGGCTCTCGTTGAACTGCGCCTCAACGAACACACGAGTCACCTCTTCCCTGAGAGTTCGGCATCGCAGTCTCCACTGCTTGACGCAGGTAGTTCATTTGAACGCTGAGGACCATGCCCGATTTTCAGGGATTTGTTGGCAGCGAGACTTACACTAGTTTCGACACCCGGCTCTTTATGAAGACCATATCATTGTGTGCTTTCAATAGACCTGTGCATCAAGATGATGCTAATATCGCGAGGATTGGGAGGTCAGAAGTACTGTCATTGAGCTTGTTTGTTCGATCGGACTTGGAGAGGAGAGTCTCGTAGGGTGTCGATTGATGCTCCTTGAGATGCTTCTCTAGTGCGGACATGTCAAAGTGACCAACTGTATTAGGCGCCGCTTCGTTCTATAGGTTCCTTCAAGAGCTGATCCACGGAGATTAAGGTTCGAGATGAGTGTTGCCAGTTCAATAGCAACAGTAAGCCAGAAGCGTAGACGCCCAGCTAGAAGACATGCTCTGCCTTTCTCTCTCATAATTGGTCACGAAAGAGAATTTCCAAGTGGTTCTATGGTGTAACGGTTAGCACTCCAGACTCTGAATCTGGCGATCTGGGTTCAAATCCCGGTAGAACCTATCGTCGAAAAGTCTATTAACTCAAGTTTGATTCTTCATTGCACGAATTCATTCACACTACCAACAACTCTGAGGAATCGTCAAGCTTGTCACCACTCCGAGAGACGCATTTTTCTATCTCCGCTCCTCTGATTACTTTCGGAATCCGCCGAATCCTGCTCTAAAATTGGAACTTCATCATTGTCAAACTCTACTCC